AGAGCAAAGAGGAATGAGATATCCAGAGAAGCAACGACACCAGAGATGGAAGCAGAGATGGGGACACAGAGAGAGGGAACAGATGAGGACTCTAGATTCATGCGAAGTGAGGGATTAAGAGATGGTGGCCAGGAGGCAGACTTGCAGAATGTACCCATTGGTGGTATAAATTATTGTATGCGCAAGTGTTTAAAAAAAAAAAAAAAGCTAAAGTGAATAGAGAGAAATACTATTAAATGATGGTATATGTAGGGGATTATAATCATTTTAATGAAACAAAGTGTATGATTTGTTGAATGTAAAACTGATGATCTGCCCTGTAAACTTTTATTCAATCTACAATAAAAACCTTAAAAAACAAAAAGAAATGAAATGTCATATTATTTTGGGCAAACCTGCTGCACAAGATCTCTTTAGTGTTCAAAAGCAAAGATGCCACTTTGAGGAGTAGGGTGCACCTGACCCAAGTCATGAATAAGGAAGACTGTAGAAGAATTGACAAATTTGATTCATGATGTTACAGAAGAACAAAAGAATAACAAATCTGTGTTGAAAAAAGTACAACCAGAATGCTCTTTAGAAGGCAAAAAGATGAGACTTCGTCTCTCATACTTCAGACATGTTATCAGCAAGGACAAGTCCCTGAGGATATCCTGCTTGGTAAAGTGGAGGTTCCATTAAAAAGAGGAAGAACCTCATCAAGATAGATGGGCATAGTGGCATTAACAATGGGCTCAAGCATAACAATAATTGTGAGGCTGGCACAAGACTGGAAAGTGTTTTGTTCTGTTGTGCACAGGGTTATTATGAGACAGAATCGACTGATGGCAACTAATGGCAACAATACAATTCAAATATGTACCTATATTTTTAATTTTTATTATGAATTGAGTGAAAGTTTACAGGGCAGATTATCAGTTTTACAGTCAATAAATTACAGTCTGTTTCATGGCAATGGGTACCGTCAGCCAACAGTATTTACCTCTATTCCTTTTTGTTGTTGTTGTTGTTTGTGTACACATACAAAACAGAAAATATATTTTCGTTTACATGTCCAAACGTCACACACTTTGCAAGCCCCCTTCCTCTCCTCACAGGCCTTTTTCAGTCCATGGGCCTAGAGTCCTCAGCTGCTGTATCTCTCTATGCCATCCCCTCCGCCACAGTCTGCTGCTGCCACTTTTCTGGTTACTATCCCTTCCCTCTTGCTAGTCCTCTGTTCCTGAAATGGAATATTAACTACTCCCTGCTTATAATTAAACATCTTTTACATTTACCGTTGTGCCAATCACCATTAATACTGATAAGAATTACACACAACTGAATTCTGCAATCTTATCCCCATCCTGCCCCATCCCCTTTCACCAGACCCAGCTGGAAAAGATAAAAACAATTCAGTGGGAATTTCAACCTTACCCCCCTTGTTTTGAAACTAAGAACATGATACTTTGCAATGACAAATGCATAAAGTCAGCAAAAGTAGGAGCTCATTTTTAGTTACTTAATGTTGTCGAGTTAGTTTCAACTCATGGCAACCATGTATAGGGTTTCCAAAGAGCATCTGGTAGGTTTGAACTGCTGACCTTCTGGTTCGCAGTGCAGCGCTTATCTGACAGCAGCATACCAGGAGTCCTTTGGCTGAGCTTAAATGAATCATCCTAATAATGAAACTCTGATCCAAGTAATATTCACAATGAACCATGAATAGACTAATCTGGGAATAAAGAAACGTACTAAAACAATTTATTTATACAGGCACTGGTTACAGGCATTTATGAACATTTGCTTGTCTTAAAAGCAGCATAAAAGTAATTAACTTAGGATAAGCCTGTATTATCTGACAATTTATAATTTCATAGCGTGACAAACTACTTTAAATTGAACTCTCATCTTTATTGCAGTTTATTAAGTTTATCAAAGAGTTTTTATCTTCAATGTATTCTCAAATAACCTTAATCATTTTTTTTCATCCTCACTTCCAAAACTACAACAACAAAAGCATTCCCTTAATCACAGCAGTGGTCTTTGGTCATGAAAGAAACACAAGAAAATAAGATCACAAATATAAGGCAACAGTTTGTCCTTATATTTGCCTTCTACATAGAGAGAATTTGTCAAAGTTTTAACAAAGTTATTCTGTTTTTTGTTTTTTTTAAAACTTTCCTCAGTTGAATTTTAAAAAACTAATCCTTTTTATCCCTTTCATTCTCATAACTTAAGTAAAAGGTCAAATGTGAGAAGTTACACTTAAAATTTTCAAAATACATTTTCTCATATACAGTAGTTTGGTGAGCCTATCAAATTATCTTCAAATGCTTACTTTAAACAAACACAATTTTTAAAAACTGAGAAACTATATCAATAACTAGGTACAGAATATCAATGATTATTTTGGGTCATGTTATATATGATATACAATCCTGAAACATCAAACCCAGCTGGATTATTCACCCTGACAACTTCTATTCACACTGGCAAGCCCCACATGATCGAGTCAGATGCCTGTAAAAATGTAATTTTAAGTACAAGGCACAACGCCTCTTCAAAGAGCGCAGTGAGGTACATTTCAGGACCAAGAACTACAGTGAGATTTTTATCCAGTGAGTACATCCACAGTCCAAACCGTCTGGAAGAAGAAACAAAAGACCAAATGGATGTCAGAACAGATGCTTCAGTGTACAGATGCAAAAGCCAAATGGAAGAAATAAGTAAAAGAACAAAACAGAAATTTCAAAGGGCAGTTCAAGAAGACAAAGTCAAGTATTATAATGAAATATACAATGATCCAGAGTTAGAAAACCAAAAGGGAAAAACATGATAAGCATTTCTCAAGCTGAAAGGACTGAAGAAAAATTGTACCTTGAGGTGCCAAGACCAAGCCATCACACTTTCAATTACCTTATTTGCAGTGGAAAATTGGACAATGAATAAGGAAGACTACAGAAGAATTGATGCATTTTAATTATGGCGTTGGAGAATATTAACAGTATCATTAACTGCAAGAAAAACCAACAAATCTGTCTTGGAAGAAGTTGAAGCAAGGATGGCAATACTAGTCTTTTGTAGTTTGGACATGTTGTCAGGTGGGGACCAGTCTCTGGAAAATGCCATCATGCTTGGTGAAGTGGAAGGTCAGCAAGAAAGAGAAAGACCCCCAAGGAATTTTGAGGATGGCATAGGACCTGGCAGTTTCATTATATTGATATCGTGCATAGGATAGCTATAAATTGGAACTGACTCAACAGGACCTAACAGCAACAAACCATTTATGGAATGGCAAGAGCTTCAAGTACCATATAGTCCTAGATGAAAAGTACTGCTCTGAGATGACTTTGTATTAAAGAAAAACATTTAAAAAATGATAACCTATGAATGTATACTCATAAGTGTAAGAAAACAGAAGGAAATGTACCTCTGTTTTATTTCTAACTCCAGTCGAAGTTCAACATTTTAAAAAGCTATCTTTCATTTTCGTTCAAGAGTGACTTTTTTTCACAACAGCTTACCAGAACCTAACTGTATTACTATTCATTACAGAATCTAACTGTATATCATGCAATTTAAGAAGAAGTTTTACTTTGTAAACCACAAAAAGACAAGTCTTCCTCACTAATGCTAATTCACTAATTCACTAGTAAGGCCCTAACTGATTTTGCCTAGCTACTTGACCCAACTTTAAGAACTTCAAGAAGCATTTTAAATAGACTAGGCCTCAGTTTTTAGTTCCCTCCAGAGACAAGGTCAATCAGTTAGCCCTCAATGTTAAAAGAATCCTTGAGAAACTCATAATGGTCAGACTGACCCAGACGAATGAGAATATCCTAAACACTAAACACTTGCAATTGCCAAAACCCATCTGCTTATAGATGAAAAAAGTTGCTTCGTGCCAAGACCAATTAAACTGTAACATCTCATACTTTGCCAAATGTCAACCAATCAGAAACTGTACCTATAGTGCTGTGCAATTATGCCCCCTGAAACCCTATAAAAACTTGTGTGTATAGTGAGTTGGGGTCGCCCTCAGCTCCTGTTTTCAGGAGTCTATGTGATGGTGGACCCCAGCGCATTGGCAAAGGTCGCCCTCAGTATCTGTTTTCAGGAGTCTATGTGAGGGTGGACCCCAGCGCGTTGGCAAATGTCACCTTTGTCTCCTGGTTTTAGGAGTCTGTGAAGGTGGACCCCAGCGCGTTGGTAAATAAACCTCTTGCTTTTGCATCGAACTCTAGTCCTGATAATCTTTTTGGGGTCTCCTACTAGATTAGGCCACTAGGGGGGCTAACAACTAAGCAAGGACATTTCAATATTCAGAGGAGCATCATCTCAGACGATCCACCAAGTATAATATCACAGGTGTCACGGAAATGCCTTAGTCTATAATGGTGGTGGTGGTTATGTGCTGTAGAGTCGGTTCTGACTCATAGTGACCCTGTACAGGGTTTCTGAGGCTGTAAATCTTTACGGGAGCAGAAAGCCTCACCTTTCTCCAGGAGGGCAGTTGGTAGTTTTGAACTGCTGACCCTGAGGTTAGCAGCCGATTCGTAACCACTAACTATGAAACAGAAATTAAAAAGGTATTCAAACAAAACTTTCATTCAAAATACTTTTCAGTCATGAAGTACATGGATAGAACTTTTAAAATATTACTCTAGCACATCAATTTCATTCCACTAATGAAGATTATGCCACTAATCTTATTACATTATAAAATCCCATCCATAATAGATAACGATTAGATAGTTAATCATTTCAGGTTTAGTGGATAAAAATCTTACATCAAAGCATATAATGAATGCAAAGGCCAATCAATGGCTTATGTAAAGGAAAGACTGACTAACTCATGCAAGCTTTCCTTGCTTCGCATTATTTGGCAACGAGTTTGTTTTTTGTTTGTTTAATTTACTAGAATCAACATTATAAGTGAGATAATTGTCTCATTAAGATCTAGAAAGAGATGCCATTACTCAGAGAAAATTAGCCATAAATCTCAGAGAAAACACAACCTGATTCCCTTGAGCAAGTAACATTTTCAATCTGGCTATTTCAGCTCGGAGCTCGCGGATGAGTTTGACGTTGGTGTCCTCATTAATGGTAGGCTTGTTGATGATGTTTTTGGCTCTATTTGCATAGCGAAGAGTACTTAGGGTTTCTCCATAATTGACATCAGCAGGTGAAATGGCTGTGAAGAATGCATTCAAAAAACAATTTATACAGCACTCTGTGTTTCATTTAACACAAAGTTGATTCTTAATGTAAAAGTTAGGCTAACTCCAGGTCATTGGATAGACTAAATAATCATTGTCACAGTACTGAATATTAAAAATTATCTATGATTTAGAGAAAAGAGCACTCACTATACAAAATTACCTGTCATTTTGTTCTTCGTTAGGTCTAGAATCGGCCATCTAACACTAAAATGATACATGACTGGCTGTAGGAGCCATTTTCTTTGTTGAAAATATATTCTTTTGTTTCTTGAAAATAATTTTCTTTATTAAAAATATGTTCAATGCTATGTATTTTTTATTATTAAATAGGAATTAAAATAATTTTAAAGGTCTAGCAAAATCTACTGTCTTTATAAACACCAAAGTCAGTTTGAACCGTAAGATTAGTGGAATTCCTTGGAAACCCTATATAGGGTCGCTATGAGTTGGAACTGACTTGACAGCACTTAACAACCAGGTATGATCAATTCTAACGAGGCAGTGTCAATTCTTTTCCTCTCAAGTCTTTTAGTTAATACCACCCCTCCTCACCTCCATACCAAACTAAGGTTTAGGTGATTGTACAATTGCATGTGAGGTATAGAGTAGATCCCTCACTTCCATAGTTCATGCATGGCATGGGGATGGTCTGAGACAGAGGAAGACCCACAAAGAGGAGAGGACACAGGAAAGGAAAGAACGGGGAAGGGAAGTGGTTAGGAGGGAAACAATTTTGTGAGTTCTCAAAAATTATTTCCTCCTCCTATGTGTTTTTCCTATTCTACTTCTCACAGTTAACTGGTCAAAATATAGAAATAAAGTACATTATTTTGAGCATTCTTTTTTATGTGTTAGTTTTGGCTTATAATTCTTAATTTTAAAATTATTTACTGTTTTAAACAAAGAACCAAAGTTGAGTTATTTTTACTTTGACTCCCTATAATTATTCCCTTCTATGAGTTAATGGAATGGTCTCACACATATCAATGATCAGGGAAATAGTGCAGGACCAGTGGTAGGCAGGTAGGCTTGAGTCAGAGCTGACCCCAAGGGAACTAACAACAACATGATTAGAAGATTTAAAATTTTCTGTCTTGTACTTTACACAAAGAAAACTTGAGAGTCATTGTACATGTTCTTACAGTTTCCATAACTAAGAAACTGACAAGTCTATGGAACTGAGGGAAAAAAAAAAAGGAAAAACAGTTAACATGACACTACAGCTTGGACCATATTAGGTGAAATTTTTTTCAAGGCAGACAAGACAGTATTTTCTTTAAAGCACAAAAGGTGCTACTTCCTAATGAGTCCTTTTAACTTAAATATTTATAGTTAATTCACACAAAACACTGTATGCTGAGAAAAAGAACTTAAAATTCTTACTGGCAATCATGATAGTTTTAGAGTTTCCTCCAAGGCTGTCTTTTAACAACCAAGTTAAAACAGAATCCCTGTAAGGCACAAAGACTTGCTTCTTCTTTGCAAGAGGATTTGCTGCATCCTGAGATAAATCAGCTATAGGAAGGACAAAAATGAAGGAGACAATTATTAAAGCTTTTTCAAATTAACACTGATTCTAAAACCCTTGAGGACATTACCTCGGTTTGTAACATAAACATTATAAAGTTAATTACTTCTTACTAACATAGAACCGTACCATGAGGAACAAGAGAAGGTAAGAAACAGTTATAAACCTACCTAAGGCAGAAATGACATTTCCTAGAGTCACGAGGGATTTGTTAATATTTCCCCCTTCCTTGAGTCTAACTCCAGTGGCACCAGTGGCATCTGCACGCTCACTTCCAGCAAGATCGACTAAGTGGATCTTACTCACAGTTTCACATGGCATTTCAGAATCAAATTTTGCCTGTGGTAAAATACAAAAGCAAAAATGACGAGATGCAAAGGGACTTGGTGTTGTTTATGACACAAATTCTAATGATTTTCGGCTCCTCACTGTGTTCTCCCAGGGTAGATTTCATTGTGAGATTTACAAATCATTTGAAAAATCTGAAAATTTTAAATAATATATTCCTTGTTTCTGGATTATATTAAATTATACTTTCCAAAGGCTTCTAAGCTAATTTTACAATCTGACTTAAAATGCCAAAAAGAATGATAAAATTCTGATAGAAATGTAAATCTCTTAGATACAGGCAACTTTTAGCCAGAAAACAAGGGAAAAAAACAAAACAAACAAAAAACAATATAAATACAGGAAATCAATAGCAAGGGTATGACAAAAGGTAGTCTTGGAGAGCTTAACAGTTGTTTGGTTGATATGTAGAGAATCTTCCATTTTCCTTGCTCTCTGGTCTCCCTAACTAATAAGATGCTGGTTTGTTTACCAGGAGGTGATGTGTGTCTCATTTGTTCAATCACTGACACTGTTGCTATCACATTGTTGTTACATACCATCAAGTCCGTTTCAACTCAAAGCAATCCTGTAACAGGGTTTCCAAGGCTATATATCTTTTGTGAGAGCAGAAAGTTCCACCTTTCTCCCATGGAGCAACTGGTGGACTCATATAGGAACTCATTATAATCAAGTGCAATGACCTTGTGGTTTGCAGTCCAGTGCTTATCTTTTGGAGCTACTGTGTTTCCCTGACCCAGATTAGGACATTCCAGAACCCTAGTATATGCTTAAGCGCTATGTGGACTCTAAATTTCTGCACTTCCCTTTACTTGGTCTACTGGCCTAAGCACTAAATATTTACCCTCGATAATTTCCACACATATTCAAGATGCTCTCAACTTCCAATGAATTCCTTATTCCAATGAATTCCTATATGAGCCCTTTAAAATGTTGGGTTTTCTTTACTATCACTCTAATAATTATAATCAACATAGTAACATGAGCTCCATGGAGTGATCATGTGCTGCATTAAATTACTGACCATGGCCTCCAGCTTGTCGGACTCTCAACCCATTGTTTCCCAGAATTTGCAACAATGAAAACATTTGCTTAATTAAGTACAGAGCACCTTTGTTATGTCTATAAAGGGGTGGAAGCCTGCTAATAAGCATTTCTTACAGGTACAAATCAAGACATTTCAAATTACTGTGATTGTAACTCCAAAGAAACTTGGTGCACAGCACATGTTCCACTCTAATTAACAAAAACATGGTCACTCTCCTCTGTGCACTGCTGCTTCAGATTCAACAATGATTGGTCCTTGGCCAGTGAGAATCAGCAAGCAGAGGCCTCAGGGATCCATCTAGCTGCCCATACCTGAGTGAACTTGATGGTAAAGATGGCATGAGACCGGCTGCTGACATCATTCATCCCAGTGGCCGCTGTCGTCCGATTAATATTTCCTGCGTCCATAAGTTCTTCTACGTCACCGTAATTCTGGACTAAATGTTTAGATAGATCTGGGGGGGGGGGAAGGTGGGGACAAGGAGCAGGGACAAGAGAGATCTCTATTATACAATAAATGGAATAAGAACTTGAATTTATGCTGACTTGTTTAAAGATTTTCTGGTTTGTACAGCATGGTAATTTAAGATACAGACTTACAAGCTGGGATGTCTGGGTTTAAATTCCAGCTCTGCTACTTAGTAGGTGTGGGCGTGCATTGTTAGAAGCAAGTTACTTGACCTTCCGTGGACTCAGTTACCTCACTGCTATTACTTTGTCAACTGTGTGCCTATAACATAGGATGCTGTCACTGTTAACTATCGTCAAGGTGGTTCCGACTCACAGGGAACCTATATAGGGTTCCCAAGGAGCAGCTAGTGGGTAATTAGGATAAACGTTAAGAAATTATCTTCTACCCCATAATCACAGGACTTAGAAAGATAAATGTAAAAGCACTACACCTCTTCAAAACCCTAATAGTTATATATGACCTTCAGGCAAAACTCAAAGGCATTTAAAATTTTTTTTCGAATATTCATGTGGTTCCAAAGTCAAAGGTTACAAAGTGAAAGGTTTTCCTCTCATTCCATCCACCACCCAGTTCCCCCCTTTTGTCGGCAGATAATGCTATTAATTTCTCTGTGCCCTTCCAGGAATAACTCAGACATATACAGAAAATTATATACACACATAGGTTACACAAGGGGACTTCTAAAAGTTTGTGGATAAATAAAATTAAAAGAGAATGGAATTTTCCCACAAACTTTTGGAAGCTCTCTCCTGTGCTTGTGCATATGTGTGTGTTGACCTTTTTTTCCCTTTCATATAAAGGGTGGTGGTGGTGGTGGTGGCTGTGTACTAGCCAGTCGGTTCCAACTCACAGCAACCCTAGATTAGGTTTCCAAGGCTGTAAATCTTACTGGGAGCAGAAAGCCTCAACTGTTTCTAGATGAGTGGCTGGTAGATTCGAACTGCTGACCTCTCAGTTAGCAGTCCATTTCGTAACTCACTACGGTGCTATCATTAAAAACAATGTTTTGTACCTATTTTTTCCATGTAGGGTATGTTACAGAACATTCTGTATATGTTCTTAAAGTGATTCCTAGTTCATTTTTATAGCTGTATTCAATTGCATACATGTACCATAATCAATTTACTAGCCTACTCTGAAGACAATATGGTGGTTTACAACATTTGTTTTCCAATTTCAAGTAATATGCTACAAATGAAATTTTACACAGTCTTTTTAAATGTGTGTGAATGTTTTTAAAGGATAGATTATTAGAGGTACAACTGTGGATCAAAGGACATTTGTAATTTTGATAGATGTTGTAAACTTCTCCTCCATAGAAAGCAATTTATACCCAGTGGCAACAATGTACAAGACTGTTTTTTTCCCCAACCAAACTGCATACTCTGTCTTAGGTGACATGTGTTATCTCAAAGTACTTTTATTCTGTTTTCTCTTATTATGAATGAGGCTGAGTATTCTTTTCTCCATTTAAAAATACCTGTATTTCCATTCCTGTGAACAGGCTAGTCACATCCTTTGTCCATTTCTCTACTGCATTTCTGGACCTGTTCTTCTGTCCCTATTTATTTAGAGGAGCTCACCATATACAACGGGACTTCAAAAAGTTCATGGGAAAATTGAATTAAAAGATCACTGAATGCTTCCTCAAACTTTAAGTCCCCTCATATCAGGAAATTTATTTCTTTGTGTGAAAATAGTTCCCTCATCTTGTCATTTGGCTTTTGACTTTGTTTATGGTGGTTTTGCCAAGTAAAATTTTATATTTACCCATTTCAAATTTAATCTTTTATGGCATCTAAGTATAAAAAAACCTTTATTTTCTCCATATTCCTAAAAAAATTAACCTATAGTTTTAGTCATTTTATTTTTAAATTTAAGTCTTTGATTCAATTGCTATTTTTGTTGTTTAATGCCATCGAGTTGATTACAACTCAGTTTCTGAGGTTTTAAATCTTTACAGAAGCAGAAACCCTCATCTTTTTTCTACGGAACAGCTGGTGGGTTCGAACTGCCAACCCTGTGGTTGGTTAACAGTTCAGTGTTTATCCGATGGAACTGTTGTGCTCCCCATTTGCTACCTATTCTAATATAAAACCTGAGATGTAATAACAAAAATCTTTATTTTTCTCCCAGACAGGTTGAAAATCCATTATTTCTCCTACCATCTGAATCACACATTTATCAGACACTAAATCTCCATAAGTACCTGGGTCAGGTTCTGGCTTTTTACCCTGCTTGATTATTCTGTTTGCTCTCCTACCAACTTTATAATCTACTTTAACATTTGATAGAACAATGAAAGAAAAAACTTAAAAGTCATATTTTGGGGTAAAAATAATAAAAATAATAACTATTCCATACTCTACAAAGTAACTACTGAGTCACACAACTTGCTTTATGACTAGAAGCACAATGTTCTCATTTGTAAAGAATATTCAGCAAGGGCCAGCCCTTTAACAATCATTACTTGTTATCATTCCTTTCAACAGATTGTGATGCAACAGTGGATCACAACACAAATGCTGAGGGCCACAGCACAAAAGACTCTGCAAACATACTTCACAGGTTTGTTGTTGTTAAGTGCCATCGAGTCAGTTCTGACTCAGTGACCCTGTATAGGGTTTCTGAAGACCAGTTGGTGTGTCTGAACTGCCGGTCCTGCAGTTCAAACCATCCTTGAGGTCAAGAGCTTGTCCTATGCCCTCATACCAGGACACAAGTTAAGAAGGTCTTAAAATATCTTTATTATCACACATCATTAGGATCAGTAAAAATAAAAATAAGACTGTTAAAATGCAATTCCATTAAGTAACAGAAGATAGGCTATGTACCTTGCCTGACAACATTGGAAACAAGTTTTCAGAGTTCTTAAAGTCAGAGGGACTGTATAGGCAAGCTCCATGAAATCCATGAACATTCAGTGAAATACACATTCTAGGAATGACTATTGTATAATGACAACTTGTGTACTGTGTAACTATAATAAGATGCCAAAGTAAGGATTTTCCAATTCCCCTCGTATGCTTTTCTTTTCTGTTTATGGAAATTTCTATGTAGTATAGGGCTATAAAATATCCACTCTTACCCTCAACATAAGGCCCTTCTTTAGGATGTTCACGGACTCTTAAATTGAAGGTTTTGGATGACTTCCGTCTAAGAAGATCTCGAACACGTTCATTATAAATTTCTAAGTAGCTAAAATTTTAAATAGAATTGAATTCAGAAATATTATTTCAAGCATTAATAACAATAACATTAAAAACAGAAGACACCTAACTTTACAGATAGAACTATGTACTCATGATGGGCTAATTATTTCATTTAATTCCTATAAGAAATCAGAGGTAGGTACTATGATTATCCCCACTTCATAGGTTAGGCAACAGAGATTTAGGTGATTTACAGAACATGTCAAAGGCCACATAGCTCTGAGAGGTCAAGCACACATACAAGCAAGAGCCTGCCGTGTCTGTCCTAGGAACCACCAAAGATGCTGACAGCCCAGGGAAGAGGCAGTCTTGTTTTAGAAAGTTAAAGGCCTTAGCCATTCTGAGTGCCTAATGTCTGGTACACATCCTTGGCTCCATCCAAGAGCATATTCAGTCACTCAGGCCTTGGGTCATACCTGACTTCAGTTCGAAAAGATGCTTCATCCCATCTGGTAGTTTCATTTATCTGACTGAAGAGCCCTTCACAGATCCGAGGTATTAAGCCAGAATCACCCTGCAGTGGGAAGCATGAAGGCTACAGCTGTCACTTGAAATAAAAGCAACCTATGGATGAATGTGCAATTTGCTGAAGTGGACTTGGGGCCAAGGCGCCTGCGTGCCAACCCCAGTCCTATAACCTCAAGCCCCAGACGTGCTATTTACGCCTTCAGGATTACTCCTCGCTCTCTGAAAAGAGAGGCTTGGGCCTTATGATTTCCAAATGCTGGGACTTTGGTAATAGAAGGTTATCAGTTGTTAACCAGTTAAATCATGTCAAGCATGCATGAGAAGACTTATTCTCTAACTTTCAAACAAGACAGTCTACAGATGCAGAATAATGTTAAACATCTGATCTGGTCAAATGACCAAAGATGAAAAAATCCACAGGGCAGTAGAGAAACACCAACAAAACCCCAGGAAGTCCTTACACTAGTTAATAATAGTCTTTAAATGTGGATGATAGGACCACATCAAAATATGTTCAGTGAAACCTGTGAGAGCCAGAACTTGAAGGGGACCGACTTCTTTTCTTGGGTTTTGCAATTTTTGCCTTTGACAGGGGGTGGCAGTCTTACGACTTGTCTATGACTTGTCTTAGTGGAAAACATTTGCATTTTCCTTCTTTAATAGGTTTCCACTTGTACAGTTTCCAGATTTCACAGACTTTACTAAAGCACATCCCACTTTTAATGTACGAATCCCTAGACCGACATTCCTAGACAGGAAGATTTTACTACTTCATATTACTTACATAATGTGGGCATAATATTCAAGTTTCAGTCAGTATTATCAAGCTGATGAACCTCAGAATGATACTAAAGATCAAGGAAATTCTTGTTGGGAAACCAGAGCTTCAGAACCTGAATTTCAAATTTATTCTTCTGAAGTCCCTCCCGACATTCATCCAGCCCCTTCCCCAAAATAAGGATCATGACTGCTACAAGAGAACTTGTACTCCTTATATTATTAAATCAATACCAGTTTTTATTAAGAATAAATGAACCTTCTTCCATATTTTTTTTCTTGTCTTAAAAAATATACATGAATATTCAAACTGTATTCAACTATAAGGTCAATGAAAAACAATGCAATTTATGAAATGCTTTCTAAATACTTAACTTACATAAAATAGCTACTATGGAGTCAACATGCAAATTTTGAGAAAGCTTTGTTCTTAAAGATACAATAGGGAGGCAGGAAAAGAGAAGTAAGATAAAATGAAATGTGAAATTCTTGAAATTATCTGTTCTCATTTACTTGGTTTCCTCTTACTTGTTCTCTGTTTTTCTGCCTTGAGGATTCGTAGCACAGTTTGTATTTACATCTTAAGTAAAGAAAAAGTCTAGACTTAAGAAGTCAGATTACATACAATGAAGTATTTCATGGAGAAAGCTCTAACCTCCTTAATGTATTACTTCCACAGACCTGCAAACCTTTAGTATAAAGATACTATGGTGCCTGTGGGTACGTTCATGAACAAAGCTTTTATTATGATGTTGTTAAGGGCCATCGAGTCTGTTCTGACTCAGTGACCTGTAGAGGGCTTCCAAGGAGGGGCTAGTAGGTTTGAACCACCAATCTTGCAGTTAGTAGTTCAGTGCTAATAAAACACAAACACTACCTGAATCTGAAGAAAGAGATACAACTCTCCAGCAATGTTTAGTTTTAACTCTTCCATATTCTGGGGCATACAGAACATTAATGTTTGTTCATTTATATAACATAACTATTAAACTATATATGGTGGTGGTGGTGGTTATGTTCCATGGAGTCGGTTCCAACTCACAGTGAACCTGTATAGGGTTTCTGAGACTATAAATCTATATGGGAGCAGAAAGCCTTATTTTTCTCCCTCAAAAGAGCTGGTAGTTTCGAACTGCTGACCTTGAGGTTAGCAATCCAATACATAACCACTATGGTACCAGAGCTCCTTAAACTATATATAATATATATATTATATATGTAACTATGAAAATTATATAAAGTATACAAGGGGGTTCATAAAGTTGATTTTACTAAAAACTCCTTTATCTTTTAATTCCATCTTTCACAACTTTTGAAGACCTTTCATATAAATCTGATTTTTCATGTATTTGTTGGATTTATACAATACCTTTTCACAAAAGATTAAGGTTTTTTTTAAATGTTTTTCTTGGAGGAATAATATTTTGCATACTTTTACAAAGAAGAGAATTCTATACAAACTGTGTTGGCAGAAAAGAAGCATAAATTACTTGTGGGTCTACCATACCTTTTTGATAAAATTATAAGTCTTTAAAAATAGAAAATGAACTGGGACTTACATCCATTATTCATGTTTATAAAACTTAAAACTATTTCTAATTTAAAATCTCTCAAAGGAAATTTAGTTCAACTTTATTAATGAGTTTTATCTTATTACTAAAGAATGATCAGAATATGAAAACCAAGTTAGTACAGATGACGAAGATAAGAGAATGTAGTCAGTTCAAACAGATTATAAGAAACATTTCCCCCCTACACACAGTGTAAACAACGTACAGAATTTCCCATCATGGTGTAGGACTTTCCAGATCCAGTTTGCCCATATGCAAAGACACAAGCATTGTAACCTTCAAATGCAGACTTCACCACATCTGTACCAAGGTTTTTAAAAACCTAAAAGGCAAAAGAAGAAACACACAAAAGATACAATTACCATAGATTTTCAAGTATTAACAATAATGTTGAATGCTACTTTCATCTCTTAAGGATCACCCCATTGTAAGGAAATCAAAACATTTCCAGTAACAAAATAAGCACCCCATTTTCAAGCAAAAGCAAACTTTTTAAGCAAGCAAACAGCAATCCCATTCTCTTTCTTATTTAAATCAACAAAATTTCCTGAAATATAAAAATGCAAACAAAGCGAAGTGGCAATTATATTTAGAAGCAAAGATGATTTTAAGACATCATGATTTACTATTTTTGAACTATGTAAATTTATAAATCTATTCATCCTATCAGCACTTCCAGAACTTAGTATTCAAAGCCTGAAGGTCACAGCAGCCGGAAATTATTGCTTGAATCATGATAAACTAATTAAGGGGTTTGTAATTAATCAAAATTGGAGTCCTGGTATAGAGCTGTAAGCACTCGACCACAAGGTCAGTTTGAACTGCAAGGTCGGTGGTTCAAACTCGCCAGCTGCTCCTCAGAAACCCTATATAGGGTCGCTATGGGTCGGAACCGACTCGAAGGCACTTAGCAACACAACAAGAACAATTAATCAAATAGATCACACCTCTGCAGGTTCATTATGGTGCCGCAGAATAAGCACTGCACTGGTAACCACAAAGTTGGCAGTTCAAACCCACCAGTCACTCTCAAAAACTCAGGATCTCTATGAGTCAGAATAAGGCTGAGATGGTTGGGGCCACCCACCTCAGAGAACAGATATCTCTACCTATTTGAGTATTTGCCCACAGAGCAAGACAGACAATTGTGTGGGGCCTGGGATTGTGCCTACAATTTCCTGAGTCCAAGTAAGCTTCACCACATCATTCCATTAAGATACTCTGGGGAGTGAATGGGAAGTATCCATATTTCACTGGAGCAGTAAAGATATGTGTTCATCCTGGTTATACCCAACTGGGAAAGGAAATAACTAAAACTTCCCAACTCTCACACGTAGAAAATCAACTCCAATTACGGACAAGCAGACTAGAGCACGGATCACAAATGCTACACATTAGCAACACCTGGCACGCATTTAAGCGTTCCAATGTCCCTCACCCCTCCAACCCCCTTGCAGCCCAAACCAATTAAGTTAGAATTTCAGGATTATGAACGAACCCAGGAAATGGGACTTTTTAAAAAATTCTCCAGATGATTTCGAAATGGCCCAGGGCACTGACAGCACTGCCAATGGGGTCGATTCCCAGGAAGCCAGCTGTCTGTTCAAGCGTACACACTGAGGCAGGCATCAGAGAGACACAGGCAGTCATCCCCACAGAGGGACCAAGACTCTCCAGACTCAACAAAGGACCTACATCAACTGAGGAATACCAGCCACCCTGAGCTCACCTCAACTCCACAGACGCCATCCCTGCTAACAACACAGTGTGTCACCCCAGCATGAGAGAACACACCACCCAGAATCTGGACTGCAGATTTCCTCAGGCACGGTGCTCCTGCAAACTTGTTTGGAACACATTTCCTCAGTCTGTCCGTCAAAAACAGACAGATTATGATAATTTCCTGTCTCATTCATTCTATTTTTTTTTTTTTTCCACTTGAACTTTAAGAGTTAATATTTTCTGATCTTACCTTCATTATTCTGATGCCTTAACTCTCAACTACATAGAGTCCTGGTGAGGCACTGTAGCACTACCACTGGACTGCTAACCACAAGGTTGGTGGTTCAAACCAACCAGCCACTTCTTAGAAAACCTATACAGGGTTGATGAAGGAGCTCTGGTACCGTAGTGGTTATGAATCAGGCTGTGAACCTTAAGGTCAGCAGTTCGAAACTACCAGCTATTCCACGGGAGAAAGATGATACTTTCTGCTCCCATAAAGATTTATAGCCTCGGAAACCCTGTACAGGGTCGCTATGAGTCAGAAGTGACTCCACAGCACATAACCACCACCACCACAGGGTTGATGCGTCAGAAGTGATTCAAAGGCACTTTAACAAATAACATACAGCAGCTCACACTCACTGGCATTCTCACTATCCTTCAGGTCTTATGTGAGACAGGTAGACAAATAGAAACTATGTAAGTCTACTACAACTCATGGCAGTCTTAGGCACACCAAAATGAAGTGTTATCTAGTCCTCCATCAGCTTCCTAATCACAAGCTTTTCAAGTCCTTAGCTGGGGCTATCCTGGGGATCCAGCTCACTCAGAGTATCCCTTGCCCTTATCGGCCCTCTATTCACCAAACACAAGGTTCTCCGCCAGTGACAGAGTCTTCCTGATGACGTGCCAAGTTGGCAATATCCTGTTGTAATTCATAAGGCTAAGTTTTGAAATTATGAGGGTAAATTAAAAAGTACTGCTACTAGGGTTCCAGTTTGCACACGCAGGGGTTTAATCCAAACAAATGGGTCTAGATAAGTCTCTGCGATCAGTGAAGCCTGCAGATTAGTTCTCTAAGTAATACAGACATCTTAATCTGCTTCAAAAAGAAGGAGGTTTTCCAGCAGATCTGCTGGCCAGTAAATTCAGAGCAGAGAGGTCAACTCAGAAAGTTACCCAGACTGTTTTAGGGGACTTCAAAGGGCTCATCTTGATAGATTTTTCTCAGAGCTGACACAGAATGAACATGGGGGCTTATTAGGAAGACATTTTCAGAAAATTGAAAACTGCATTGATGAAAAAAAGACCAGGAAAGTTGCACCAAGGAATTTTTTCCATCTTGTCAATACACCTAGCTCATTGTTGAAGAAAAACAAGGGCTAGCCTACAAAAATCTCATTGCAAAATCTTACCCCATCTATCCTACAGCCCTGATCTTGCCCATCCAGACTTCTTTTTATTACCCAAACTCAAAGAACATGTGAAAGGAACATAATTTGAGTCCTTCGAGGACACCAAAACTGCCAGTTTAACATGGTGTCAATCGAAGAAGAATACAGTGTTTGTTGGGAATGCTTTAGAGACGGAAACACTACCTTCAGAAGCATATTGACCTAGATGGAGGATATGTCAACAAAAACTGTTTCACATTTTGATATTTTTGTTGAATAAAGGTTTCTGTGATTTTGCAGCAGTTCTCTTTAGTTACTATGTTTTTAGCAGTTTTAATGCACAAGTGCCACTGAACCTGTCCATCATGGGTAACCTTATTGCTATTTAAATACCAAAAGGAGCTCTGGTAGCGTAATGGTTACGAATCGGGCTGCAAATCTCAAGGTCAGCAGTTCGAAACTACCAGCTGTTCCGTGGGAGAAAGATGAGGCTTTCTGCTCCAGTAAAGATTTACAGTCTCGGAAACCCTGTACAGGGTCGCTATGAATTGGAACCAACTCCACGGCACATAACAACAACAACAGCATAGCTTCCAACATCACTGGCCATACTAAGGCACAACAAACTGGCATATAAATGTTAACTTCATATATTACTCCTCATTAGAACTCTATAAGGTGAGTAGCATTTCACGACTCATTTTTCAAATAAGGAAGCTGAAGTTGAAAGAGAAGTTAATAACTGGAAACAAAGGTGAGTATCAGAATGGAATTTGAACCCAAGCCTTTCGGATTCCAAAGTCTATGTTCTTTTCCCACAGCTTCTAAATCAGCATCTAAGCTACAATACTACCTGGGAGGCCATTCCTCAGATTTCCACTAAGAATCAAAAGCTAAAAATTCCATGCCCCTTGTTTGAGGTTTGTTTTCACCATTGTGGTCCATACACAACTACTTTAAGTCTTCCCAATTAAATAAACAAAGATATGTTTTTTATACCATTTCATGAAGTGCTACTGAATAGAAAGAAAAACTTTCCCATAAACTTTGCAAATAATTTAAGAAGGATCTTCTCTCATAGTTTTGCTGGGATGAAAACAAATTCATGGAAAATACACTTAAACCAAACCCGAAGGCTTTCAAATAAAAATTCTTTCCTAGGGTTAAAATCACATCCACCATTTTATAATGACTGTATTTACTAGACAGTTAACCTGTATTTACTAGGCAGACTTTTCTGACAGACACAGAAGCTGAAGGGCCTACTGCTGGTGAACAGGACTGCAAATCATGTTTAGAAATGCAGGTCTGGAGGCACAGATACCAGGCCCAGTCTTAGCTTCGAATGCTGTTGTTGTTAAATGCCACCTAGTCAGTTCTGACTCATAGTGACTCTGTATAGGGTTTCAAGGAGTGGTTGACCACCTTCAAATAACTCACTCACCCAAAATAAGAGGGTGCCAAGATCCAGAGAGGTTCTCTGGTAGCGTAGTGGTTACGAATCGGGCTGCAAACCACAAGGTCAGCAGTTTGAAACTACCAGCTGTTCCACGGGAGAAAGATGAGCCTTTCTGCTCCCGCAAAGATTTACAACCTCGGAAACCCTGTACAGGGTCTCTATGAGTTGGAACCGAATCCACGGCACATAACAACAAGATCCAGAGAACTGAGAGCCAGTTGGACACTGCCCACATTTCCAGGGTTCTTGGCAAGGAAGCGAGTTTAAGTCGTACACAGTCCCACAAAGTACTCATTTAAGTGCAATCTACTGAACCAAGGCAGAGGGAAGGACATTTTTTGAGATTCACAACCTGCTTTCCCTTATTGGCATCACACTCTGCTGAGATCCTTCACTCACCCTGGTTCTCCAAAATCCACCCTGCTGCTTCTCTGAGCACAAATTAATTTCCAAAGTATCACCAGGGCCTCACTTTAGAACTGCCCACAAGAGGGCCCTGTTAAAGCAGATTGTACTATCTAGCTTGTCATCTGGGAGATTTAGGTTTCAAGTTTCTCTAAGGTTGAATTGAGGAACTGGTTTTATAAGATCAAAGCCTCCTCTGTTTGAAAATTTAAAGAATCATTAAGAAAATTAGACCCTATTTTGTGATCTTTAATTTACATGAATGTTGATTTTAATTGCTCATTAACTTTTTTTCCTAATTCTAAAATTAACTTGAAAGGAAAATATAGGAATAGCCATCTATCTGGCATTTGTTTAACATTAAGGGAAACATCCGGACTATGTTGTTTTTAACTGCCACTGAGTTAATTCCAACTCATAGCAAACCTGTATAGGGTTTCCAAGGAGCAGCTGGTGAGCTTGAACCGCCAACCTTGTGGTTCAAATGGACCTTGCATCCAGTGCATTAATCCACAGCACCACACCAGGACTCCACTATAGTGATAGGTATGTTTTTTCCAAGACTCCTTTACATTCAACTGATCACCAACCACAAAAAAAGACCAGCATCATGCTAAGAACTCTGCATCTTCCCCTGTTTCTAGTCTCGAGGAAACAGCCCATTTTTAGTGATTACATATGGCATCATTAAAACATGGAGTCTTGGTGTGGTACTGTGGGAAAATGCACTGGATAGCAAGGTCAGTTTGAATCACAAGGTCAGTGGTTCAAATTCGGCAGTCTATCTTGGGAAAATCTATACAGGGTCACTATGAGTTGGAATTGACTTCAAGGCACTTGACAACAACAATATCATGAAAACCTAGTCAAAATTCAAAATTAAAGCTCTTTTTATCAAGAGGTATGAAAATTAGTGATGAGGGAAGTATGTTTCTCTTTACTGGCTATAATGGAGTGGTACAGAGATTCTCATGCATCTACGTGTGCATTATTAACACATGGCTCTGGGTCGGAACCGACTCGAAGGCACTTAACAACAACAACAACTACTAAAAAGTAGTGTTTACTAACATATCTCAGGCCTTTTCTAGTTGTGTGATTTAACAGTCGCATTATTTATATACCAGTAGATCAAAGACACCAAAGTAGCTGAGAACAGATGCTATACATACACCTCAAGCATTTAATCTATCTTCATCAACTGAAAACTTTTTACAATCTAAATATTTTTTTAAATTCTGGGCATTTATTTTTAACTCGCAGAAAAGCAAAATTATTTTTGTCATTCCTTGGTCTCAGCTCTACTAGAATTTAGGAAGTCTCCTCTTCCCATAAAGTAACTCCCATCTGAAGATGGGTTTTGCCCATCAAAAAACCCTAACAAAGTTATCTCCAATATGCCAAGCTCAGCAGTCATACAACACTCTACGTGATCTCCAGGCTTCCTTTAGCACAGTCCTCTGTCCACAGAAATCCTCTAAACCTCATACTAAACACGGGAGAAATCCAGCTGCTCATTAGGTAAATTAAAAATAGAGACCCTTCCCAACCCTTCCTTCATCCTCTGTTGAAGACACTCTGAAGACTGCTACAATGAACTACATCTTGTTTTTCCCTGAACAGACTTTCTAGGGCCCACAACTTCATCCATAATTCCTATTAAAGTCAAAATCTGAATTTCATTTTCTATGGTATTTTATTCCTTACCAGACTCCTAGCTAAGGAACTCTGGTAGCGTAGTGGTTACTAATAGGGCTGCGAACTGCAAGGTCAGATGTTCAAAACTACCAGCTGTTCCGCAGGAGAACGATGAGACGTTCTGCTCCCGTAAAGATTCACAGCCTCGGAAACCCTGTACAGGGTCGCTATGAGTCGGAACCAACTCAACAGCACATAGCCACCACCACCACCAGACTCCTAACTACTAACTCAACTAATGCTGTCACCTAGACACCAAAGCTACCTTTATTCACTCATCCACTGATTACTCACTCACTCACTAAATCTGTCATTCAACAGGGCTGCCCTCTCCATCTGTCATATAAAACAAGCCACACTTTTTCCTCTCATACCCTTACAGACTTTCCAGTGGTATGCCACCCATTGTATATATCAGCTGCAAGATCTGATTCTAGGTTTATGAACTTGAGAAAATTACTTAAATTCTCTGAGCTGAAATTTACTTGACTTGATTCTTATGAAAATTAAATGGATTCCTATTGCCAATAGGAACATAAGGAAAAGTGGTTCATCTTTCCTCTCCCAGGTCCTCTTTAACACCACCACTTCCATGAAACTCACCTCGTCATCGTTTCCATACCCACTGCTGCTATCATTTGTAGCTTCCTGATATTTAAACTCAACACTTCCCCCAATTCTTTGAACACCTCCTCCACAAACCATTTCTAAACCAACTACATTGGTTCTCACCTATGTGAAGGTACAAGAAAGTCACCTGAGGATCTTGTTAAAATGCATTCTGATTCTGCAAGTCTAGAATAGGCCCTGAGAGTCTGTATTTCTAACCAGCTCCAAGGCAATGCTGATGATAGTTCATGAATATACTTCAGTCACAAGGAACTAAACTACAATGTTCTACTTTTCATGGTACATGGAGTACAGCCTGAAGTACGCATGGCAGGAATCCTTATTCCCATTTTAACACATGAAGACCTGAAACAATGTAACTTACAAAGCTACAAAAAAAATCTGCTAAACAAGATACGAAGAGGCCTGGTGATGAAGCTGATGTTCCTTCCCCAACACTGGTGTTTTCCTGTAAGCCCGCTCCAAGCTTTTCCCACCTAGCTTTCCCCACCTTATCCTTATGCTCACATGACATGCCAGCATCAGCATCTCCATGGATTCCTGTGAAGACCTTTTGGTCTGTTTGCACCTGCCATGTCACATCTCCATTTCAGATCATAAAAGCTTAAAGGGAAAGAACTCTGTGGACAAATTCCAATATAAGTCTACATTCTGAAAGGATTCTGGACATTTATGACAGTTTACCAAATCAGGAGAAATCTGACTTAGGTTTTGCATCTCCCTCCTAAAGTACTGCATTGCAACAGGATTTACATAAACTAAGCAGTTTATTTCCTGGGAGTCACAATATACAAATCTCTCTCCTCCCAAAATCCTTTATTTGTGCAGCTCCTTCAAAATAGTAGCCATGTCCTAGTTTTGAACCATATCAAAGTTATGATCGTATCATCATGCTCAGATGTGAAAAATAAATTAATAAATAAAACATCTCATTGGTGTCTGTGTTCTTCAAAGGATTAAGATATTCAGTTCAGTGTAATAACCAATATACTAAGGTCTAAAATTAAGTAGGGGCAAAAATTGCAAGATGATTCAAAGAGTTTAAGGGTACGCATGCTTTTCTTAGAAAAATAAATCAAAATATAAAGGTTTTAAAAACATCATACCATTTCTTGTGAAACATAATCTGGACTTTTTGTATCGGCAGAATAAAAAGAAAAGTCATAGGTGAAGGTCTTGGTCCGTTCTCTTCCTGAGTCCCCAGTCCCCCCTTCTGGAATCTAGAGAGAGATGATTATGATGAGAAACATAGCATAAAGAGAATAATAATAATAATGCAAGTAATATTGTCATTATACAAATGAACCAATTCAGGGTTGGGGACGGTTGGAAATGGCTCTTCAAAAAATATATACAATGATAACCTTTTTTGTATTTATACAATAACTAAAATTCATTTGGTCATTCCCTTTGACCTTCCTACAGAAAAGTAAAAACAAAACTTACAGGTAATAAACAAACTCCTTCTCCCATCAGTGTGCTATGACCCAAGGCTACTTTAGTGACCATTTTGTCATGATAATCTGAGATTAAGCCAACACTCCACCCAGTCTATGTTTCCCACTATTCCCTCCAGCTGAACGGTAATCACTGGGCTCTGCACAAATCCAGGAGGTATCAGGGTATCATTCACATAAACCGTGATGACAGTGTCTCCAGGAATCATACACTTCATCAGCCTCACCAGGTTTTTCACCTTTTCCAGGGAAGCTTCCGTTGGGTAACCCAGTCAGAAATCATTTCTCTCACCTCTGACAGCCTCAACTTAACTAGGCAGAGGTATGACACAGACCCTCTACAACAAAGACACCAGTGACCAAATGAAACAGACTCAGTTGAAAAATCTAGAAACCTGAACTTCAGAGGAAGGGTTGGCTGGTGCTGATGTGCTGTGGAGTTGGTACCGACTCATAGCAACCTTGTATAGGGTTTCCAGGACTTCTGGTATGGCACTGCAGGTTAATGCATTGGACTCCAAAGTCAGTTTTAACTGCAGGGCAGTGGTTCAAGCTCACCAGTTACTCCTTGGAAACCTTACACAGGGTCACTATGGGTCAGAATCGACTACACATCTCTACAGTGCTTAACAACAACATAAGGTTCCCGAGGCTGTAAATCTTTACGGGAACAGAAAGCCTCATTTTTCTTCCATGAACAGCTGGTAGTTTTGAACTGTTGACGTTGAGGTTAGCAGCCCAACTCGTAACCACTACGCTACCACAGTTCCTTGAGATGGGATTAGAGATGTGAACTGAGTGACTCCTGAGAGGAGAAGCTGAGCAGGGACAGCAAGAACAGAAAACTGATTGGTGAATGGCCCACCAGATGTTGCACAACCATCTTGAACTTTTATTAGCAGCTTTGGAGACCGAAGGTGGCCTGGCAAAGCAGACTCACACGGTGATAGAAAGGTATGATTCCTTCTTTTCTCCCATGTTCCCTTGGTTATCAGAAATGTGGCCAGCTTCCACCCTCATTCATCCACACCCAGAATAGACCCAGTTCTCTGGGAGTTCAGTCTTCTGGTAGGGAGGCATACTGGTTGGGAGGCACACCAGTGTGAGGTGTGGGGCCAACTGCGCTGTTTTGGTGCCTGGATTCAGGTGGGCTAGGCCCCAGACTTATAGAGGCACCAAATCAGCATTAGTATAGAAGAAACCTCATAATCAGCCACCTTGCCTCCAGCTGCCCTCCATTCCTAAAAGACACTGAAACCAGCTCCATCAAGGGCCTCCACAAACTACCCCTGGACGAAGAGCCCTGCACATAGGTAACAACTAGGTCTGTAAGAACTCCAACTAAGGCCAGGAGTTCACCTGTTACACCCCTTCTGCACCTACTTTGTGAGCTCCTTGGCTGACAGAGAGCACCCCAGAGTTTCCTCTTTGCCTGGTCAAACTTCTAAAAGTGTTTTTTGTTTTGGGTTTTTTGTTTTTTTTTTCATTCCATTGTTTTATTGTTTTTGTTTTTTTTTTTTTCGTCTCCTCTCCTCTCTCCATTCCCTTTAATTTTATCCTTTCTATCTTCACTTTTGGTTTTCATTCTTTTCTTCTGTTTCTCTCTTTTCCCTTCTTTATTTCCCCTTTGGATCTTTCTTTGCTACTCTCTACTCTCTTTTCATCTTCCCACTCCCTGCTTTTCACCCAACAGGAGATGGTCACCATACTTATACACCTCAGTCACAACCACACACACCCTCTGCAGCTCCACCCACTGGGCAAAAGTCAGTACCAGCTCCTCCTATACCACCTGATCAACACCACTCAAACCCACCCTAACTGAGGTATTCAAATGGTGAACCCACAATAGTGCAAACACTTCCATTCTCTAACTAGACCAACAGGAGACAGTCAGTGAGAGTCCAGCAGAAACCATGTAGAAAAGAAGGCAAATATTTTCACCATTGTTTATGGTATTTTGTTTATGAAAACAAATGCTCAAGTCTTTCCAAAACAAACAAGAAAATATGTTTTTTGCACCATTTCATTAAGTGTTACTAGAGAAAAGGGAAAACTTTCCAAGTAATAAAAAGACTTTTCTGACAGACTTAGGGGCTAGTGCTGGTGAACAGGACTGCAAAGCATGTCTAGAAATGCAGGTCTGGAAGCACAGATACCTAGGCCCAGTCTTAGCTTCGAATGCTGTTGTTAAATGCCATCTAGTCGGTTCTGACTCATAGCAACAATGTATAGGGTTTCCAAGGAGCAGCTGACCAGCTTCAAGTAACTCACCCAAATAAGAGGGTACCAAATAAGATCACAAAATTAGCACCTTACCAGATAAACAGACATTGAAGGAATTTTGAATAACTAGAAGAACTTTACAAAAAAATACTAAAGGGTATCATTTGGACTGAGAACCAACAATAGCAAACAACAATGTGACATTAACATATATGTCAACACCACCCAGAATTCAATCCAGACATGCTGTTGTTGTTAAGAGCTATTGAGTCAGTTCCAACTCATAGCAACTCTGAGTAGGGCTTCCTGAGGAGCAGCTGGTAAGTTTGAAGCTTCAACCTTGTGACTCAAATGACCTTAGGGTCTAGTGCTTCTCCTACAGCACCACACCAGGACTCCAGGTATACAAGTACTCAAAGAAAAACAAACCTCCTAGACTAAAAAAGGGAACTAGAGATCTATCTATGAGGGACAAGACTATAGATACAGAATTTCCAAATGTTGAGGACATCAAGTAGATTTCAAGATAAAAAAATTAATGTTTCAGGGTAGGTAAACCTCAAAGAAAATTAGTACACCTTTATTTCAAAATAAAAAGGAAATCAGAAATATTTCGTAAACATTACAACAGCAGAAATCACTAAAAAAAGAAAACCCACAAACAAAATTAAATCAGTGCAGAAAATTATGTCTTACAAGGAAACCAGTAGCACCACACACACAAAAAAAATACCCACATAGCAATACGACTGCAATCAATTCATACCTATCAATAATTACAATGACTAGAAATGGATTAAATGCACCAAGAGAAGAAAACAGGATGAACCAGGAGGACATTATTCTGAGTAAAATTAGTCACAAAAGGGCAAATTATGTATGAGACCACTGTTGTAAAATGTTAAGAAAAGGTGTTTTTGTGTGTGTGTTTTTTGGTTTATTTTAGTGTTTATTTTGAATTATGTTATGTGAGTTTAACATGGGAGAACATCAGTTTTATATTCATCCTATCATATTTAGTTTCATTGCAATGATCACAATCCCCTACATGCATCATCAAATACCCAAAGGGTACACTACACAGGCCCACCCCCGGCCATCAGCACACAGCACATCTCCCTCCGTGGGTCCAGTGTCCCCAGCCACTCCATCTGTCCACGCCATCATCTGTCTCCATCCCTGGCATCACTGCCTCTCTGGGCCCTCCGCTCTTCTCACTTGATGGTCCCAGGGACCTTCCCTCGTGGGCTGCAAAATCAATCACTCCCCTCCTTTTGTCAAAAAACATCTACCTCTACATTTCTGACCCTCACAGTCAGTCCTGATGGCAATTATTCACTATTGTACCACAAGAGTCTCATATCCATTTCCTTTCGCCAGCCCAGTCGCAATAGATTGGAAATCATTCAGTGGAGGTTCTACCTACCCCTGCCCCGTCTGGAACTGAGCTCCCTTTTGAAAGCTTGAAAGCCAGTCACTTCTTGCCTTTATAGCCACACACCCACCATTTTAGGTAGCCAATATCTTGCCCATCCCTGTCAACCCTGTGTACCGAGGGGGTAGGAGTAATCCTTGCTGTAAAGATTTGTTCCCTTTTTTGAGCTACTACATCCATAAGTATAGGTAAAGTTCATCAAATTGAAGTGGGTTACTCTTTTTTTT